GTCGGTTGTGCTCCGCCTTTGAGGCTGGATTTGGAAATGTTCCACCAGCATAGTTCGCGCGTCCCGTATTACTCCGGCAGCAACTAAGCCGCCCGCCCGCACAGCGGAAGCACTACCGACTAGAGGGTAAACAGTGCCTAATTTTTAATGATGAATGAAATGTTGCACTACTTACCTGAAGAGTGGAATACAAAGTATCAGGAGGTTCACGATAGCCGCTACAAAATATCTGAAATAATAAAAACATGAAATTGCAGCATAATTCAACTCTAATTCGTGGCTGCAAACAGCTCACTGTCTTGAAAAAAAAAGAAGTGATGAGGATGTTAGAAGAATTACCCTAGCACTTATACGAATCCTTCATACTACAGAATTTCAACCAACTATTGACGCTTGACGGTTCACATCTGCGCTATCAATAATAAATTTAATAAGTAAAATATGCCCGGTAGTCCATATCACACAGTACCCCAAAATTAAAAAGGAAATGAGAACAGGAAAATTCAAAGAAGCAGTCAAAACATGTCAGAATAATCCAATAATTGCGACTTATATGAGTTTGCAACATAACTGCTAGCCAGTAAAAGTTCACACCAACATCAAGTCAGTCCTCCCTATTGAACAAAACATTACCAGGCTTGATGAATCAAATCCGGTAACTAGAACGTAAAAGCCGATTAAAAACGGCGTAGTACGTCACCTATTCTGGGGTCGTATCCACTCCTTCCCCCACCTAGCGAAGAAAAGATCCCTTTCATTTTTCTTCACCTTTCCAACTAGAATGGCCCTGGAAAGGATCCTAGTTGAAATGTATGCATGTGTGTAAAAGAAAATGTGTAACTGTAAACCAACAAATTTAAAGGAATTTTTTCTAAGCGATAGCCTTGCGAAGGACTGGATACGGCCCCAGTTGAGGTAGCCTGGGCAATTAACAGAAGCCTACTTTGAAATAATTACCTCTGATTGAAATGGCCAACGCAAACTGCGCCAAACGAGCTGTGATGGTCACGACGTAAACAACACTTGTCGCATACTAAAAAAAATCAGTAGTACTTCAATTCAATAATACCGTTTGATCAAGGACAGTTCCGAAGGTAACAAGTGACGCACACTGCCGCAGCTCACTAAGGCTAGGCTCGCAACCTTTTACCCAAATAATGCCACTTCAAAAACGGTATAGACATGATGTGACTGAAGGAAGGGTCCTCCACGTCCATTCTCTTGAGCCATAATTTGCCTACATATCAGGAAATTTTCTTCTTTTGAATTTCAAATGGGCAAGATCACCTCAACAATGCCAACGCTTTTTGGTCAACTCGCAGTTGCTTATTTTATTTTACGAAGTTTTCACTACTAAGCAGCTTGCTACGCAACGTGATTCATGAGGAAAAAATTAATTAGCCACTACTGAGGTAACGCCTACTAAACATTGTATCACCATTGCAAAGGAGAGCCAGCAGCGATATAAGCTGTTGAAACGCGCCTTTCTGGACTTTTTAGCCAACTATCCAACGCACAGAGATGCCCAGATGATGAACACGGGTTTCATTGTTTCGAGTAACCCATCATGACATACGTAAAAGGTAGATAAGCCATTGCTCTAGGAAAAACGATAAGTATATGCTCGACTGAGTAAATGTGCTCGCAACACTTACCTGGACAATGATAAGCACGTGGTGGAGCGTTGGTATGACAAGAATGACAGTACCTGAACATCTCAACGATTTGATATTTATAATCATAAAATTATAAATTCTTGTCCATTAATCCCACCTGAAACCTGCCTTATAAACATTAGGAAGTGCCGTATTTAATCCACTTGGACCAACAGCTACCATTTTGTACCAGTTCATGTATACATTGAATGCCAAAACAAGGAAACAAGACACTCGAATGACCCATGCTGAAACGGGAGATGAGTAAAAAGGCAATATTATGAAGAACAAGAACAGTAAAGGAAGGAATAGATGGCAATATCATTCATGAGACGTACCTTCTCCAAACGCCGGATACCAAACCGGCATTATGCAGAAAATATTGATAAGAAAACCGATGGGCAAAATGACAAGGAAAATTCCAGTGGCAACCTGCAAAACGCGTATTGTAAATGTTATAAAGACCATGTCATTTGAAACAATGATGCTTCAGTTTTTGGAAGGTCTTGCACTGATCGTATCAAATTACGACACCTTTACGAACTTGCAAGATGAAATCTTTACTGGTAGCTTTGCATTTCGATCTTTTTTCTTCATTTTCCTCGAAGGCCGAAAACTCGATCCGTGAGGCGAGGACTTTGCTCACTATTCCTGTGACCGCCTCAACCAGTACGTTGATCGCTTTTTAGAACTTCACTCCCACTTGTACACTGTACAGATCACGAGGCCAGCCACACAGCTAGTTTAGCACTAGAAAAATGAAGAAGCATCGTAATACCATATATGGTTATGAGCTTGACGCTCTGTAGGCATACAAGCTGATAAAAATCTATATTATCAATACTTCTACACATAATATCTTTTTCCATCTTGCCGAGCTGACAGCACTGCGGCAACAGCACAAGCAGTAGGGCTTGCGGTTGCATGTACCTTAGAATTCCATCAAAATAGCCATTCATTTCAACCAGTTTCTCATACATAAGTGTGGAAGCCGCGTATGCGGCAGCAGTTGCACTGAACTGGGAGTGACTTCAGCTTGGCGCTGACCAGAGTGAATAACCGTCCAATCCCAAACAAATCATGATCCACATTTCTGAGCTTTCTCGCCCGTTCATTTGGCTTTGCTCGTCATCAAGGCTAATTCAGCATGGGGTGTGGTTCGCCTAGCCAGAAAGAATTTTCTCATAGTGCAATTACTTTTATTCTGCAGAACACCCATATGCAACCTGTAATCAGCCAGTGGAGCCTGAAGGTTTCCAAGTGAAAAAAGTTCGCGCTGCAAGAAGCGAAATCACTTCTGCCTGCCAACTAACTCATCACAACATATCGTTTTAAAGTCGTTTAAGACTTCCTCTATTTGGGATGAGTTCCAGGGAGGTTGAATCGTATCTACAAACCTCATTACCCCGAATATTTCGGACTTAAAATAGCATTCTTTCATTGCTTCGGGAAGGAAAGTCGTCGATGGCGCGCACATAGTAAAATGAATCGGATGCGAAATAATGTTCAACTTTAATTTGACACTTTTGACAACTGTATTGAGGCCACTATGCGATAGTAGCATTTGATATATATCCTGTGTTGCGCCTCGGGGCGCACTGTATTCAGCAGATACCGTACTGGGATAGAAATTTTCTGCATATGCTGAACGTCGTCACCTACTTCAATACCATTGCGATGAAATGATTGAGGCAGAGACACATAAGCTAAGAACCATCTGCTATGCTACATTACTTGCTGCAACCGCCCGAGATGGTTTATGCGAAATTCCATCGGCATGTGAAGTGAAATGACCTGATTTGAATTGAAACTCCTCTCGAAAAAATTTGGAAAACAACTGCGTCACACATGCTAGAAAAGCAAAGAAAGCGTAGAAAGACAACCTTGACGAAAGACATCCTCTTTGCAGCCGAAGGAAAAAAATACGGTGAATCTAGTTTGCGCAATCGAAGACAATGATTGTCGGCTGCTGTACCACCGGTGAGACATACCAACTTAACTTCACCACTAGCTTGAATGAGCATATGGTTTATTTGCTTTCGCAAAGTTTTCGTCAGTTAGCGGTAGGGCAAGTTGTCCTCTGCGGCTGGTCTTTTAAAGACCGAAAAAAATTTAATCATCGCAACCAAGTGAACCCGCAGGGTCTATTCCAGTTTATAGCATCAGTGCGGTGACTATATGTTTTCCCAAAAAGCTACGGTAACTCTGAGCCAGGGGGAGTGTAGCCAGCCTAGGGGGGTGGGTGAGGGCAGTCACTTGACATGCGTGAGAAGCTGGAATGTTCGAGTTTACATTAGCTCGCCGAGAAACTGCATCATGATGCCCCCTTAACTGGAATAGACCCATCAGCCATAAGAAAGGTTCTACTAAAAGCCTATCTTGGAGGAGCTTGTAATCACTTGAAGTTTTATGAGTTTTGATTTGCCTAGTCAACGGGTAGATAACGCGCTCCAACTTCACTGAGCGGTGCGGCCGTGCTCAGCATCCACAATTTCGAAGAAAAAGAAAGGAAAATAGCACGGGAGCGAGCGTAGGTGATGTCGTCCCGAAGTCCCCTTTTGATGCCGGCAACAGTACCCCAACATTCGCAACGGGAGGAAATTTTAAGTGTGTGAACCACATCGTTTGTGCAAAAAGTGTCGTGTGACGATGACTGACCATGCTTCAATGTCAGACATTAATCGCTTATAGTAATGGAACTCACGATGTCTTGCGTCTGCTTTGGGATCAGTTTATAAATGCGTGATTGTATATCGTTGAATTCGTCGGGATCCATTCTGAAAGCATACAAGAACGAGTAAAAGATATGGAAAATCACGTTTAAAGGGGGAGGTTTATAAACAAGATGGAAGGCAGGGTTTAGTAAAGGTTAAAATAGAAGCAAGAAGACAACAGAGACCAAAAAACCAGTTTTCTAGCAGTTCAGCGGAAGCGCCCGTACGTCGGACGGCAACGAGACTGCGCCAATGGCAAAATGTTTACGTCCTCTGCGTCTATGGCTTCCTCCCTCACTCCACCCGTCTGCCCCTCGCCGGAGGTGATCTCGTGGCAAAACCTCGTTGCGTTTGAGAGTTCGTACTTGACGAGCTACTACGTCGACTTTAGGATGAAAGGAAATGTTGATGAACAGAATGAAAAAAATACTGATGAAAAGCAGAAAAAGCGAGGCGGGAGTAAGCACCCTCCAGTGATGATGCTGGCCGGTGCCAACTCATCAATCAAACGCTGGCGCTGCACTCGTCTTACAAAATGAGTCACGTACAGCCGCAATAACCACTACTACAAGCTGTACCACCCTTCAATTATATATAGAAAGAGAAGCGGTGAACGCTTTCTGACCAACGGCGGGCACTTGCAAGCAGGATCAACGGCCCGTTGCGCAAAGCTCAACGGAGGGTCGTATTCGGTAAGCGTAACGGAGGGGGGGGGGTTGTAACCTCAAGTACCAATCACAAAATTTGAAGGTGCCAAGGCATGGCTAAGTGGCAAAGGAGGACAGACTTTCAACTACCACTGCGACTACGCACCACAGACGATTGAATGGCGCATCCAGAGCGGGATTTCTTACTAAAATACGTCATTTTCCTGAGCACGAGCATTCCTTTTAGAAAAACTCCCATGCTCCTAGATCATCGAAGTGGAGGAAAGTGCAGCGAATTCAGCGGATTGGCCAGTAGGGTCCCGATAGAAAGTTCTGGCACGAGAAAGTCTCCTTTCGAGAGAATCTAGCATATTCCATGATGATATATCTTGTAGATTTCAATGGTTTTTACTGCTTCTCAACTTACCGATTTCGAAGAACCTTATGCCTAAAGGTTGGAAACTCGCGTTCCAGGAAAATGACCTAAAAAACCATAGAGGGAAAAAACGGAACAAGGACGATGTTTCAAAACAGTGGCACTCAGAAGTTTTTTTTATTCTTCCCATAGCGTCAGTCTTCTAGTTTCTAGCTAGCTTAGAGATCTGCAAAAAATAATAATGAAGGAATTTATGAATGTTTGAATGATGAAAACTCGCGTGTGCACAAAAAACGGAACAACGGGACGAGTTGAAGTGTTAAGCACTTGCATCAGATTAAAAACTTTTCAGAAAGGAAACGACTTTATGCTTTTGAAGAAAAATATAACTTTCTAAATGAGGAAGTCTGTGTCGTCGTCACGTAATTGCTGCAAGGTTCAACTATTCAGCTTATAAAAAAGGAGATTTTGGAGTTTGAAAAAAAACTTGGAAGGTTTCCGAAAGTAGATGTTTCTGCAGTTGTACGCAAAACATAGAAATTTCTTCTGATTGCAGAGATTATGGGCTGACTGACGGGAGTTCCTCAGCAGAGTATTCCCTAAGTGTCCCTCTATAAGTAGACGCAGGCCCTCCTTCACTGCCCTCACCGTCTTCAGAATATGACGTCATCTGTCACCGTCGTCAGCTCAGGGAGGCCTACCGTAATTGCTTCAGCCTGAAGCTCTTACATTAATTTCTTGAATGGATCCGCTGTTGTATAGAGACATCTCAGACTATGCGAACCCTCCGCCCCCTCCCCCTTCCCACCCCAACTAGCGTTTCAGAAACATCGTAATGGTACGCGATCCGTCGATGATTGAGCTCAAACGTCATGATGACCATCATGTCGAGCTCAGTGCGTTCCTGATGTGCATCATGTTTCCGAAGCAGATTCTTCTGTTTCGTCCACATTCGAAGACTTATGAAGTTTATTTTTTTAACATAGGATGTAGTCTTCCATTTTATCACAAGAATGCTGAGTTGTGGCAAAACTTTCGCCCCAGCGGGATTCGTACCCGGATCTCTTGCTTTCCGGGCAATTGTGCTACCAGTTACACCACCGGGGCACCATTTCACCCCAACTCAGCTTCGATGGTGAAGTTACCATAGCTTTATATAAGCTAGGTAGCACAATTGCCCGGAAAGCAAGAGATCCGGGTACGAATCCCGGCTGGGGCGAAAGTTTTGCCCACAACTCAGCATTCTTGTGATAACTTTCGCAACGCGAACTGCGGCGTAAAACAGCAGTTATCTAATAAAACAACTCTTCCATTTTAATTTGGGAGCGTTTGGTTTGAATTCAGCGAAGTGTGATCAAATTTATTTAATGTGGAGAAAATGTCCTTTTTTCATCGCCTCTGAGCCCCTCCCCCAAACCCGCATATTAGGTTGGTCCCTAAGTTCTGGAACAAACTGGGCATCTTTCTATTCATTATTTCGTTCATTTGTTCTATTCATTTAGCATACATTTCGAGATCGTCATTATCTACAACATATTTCCAACGCATTAGAAGCTGTTTGACACTCTCTATACTAAAATCGATGAGTTCTGATCGAAGAAAGATTGGATGTCGATTTTGGCGGAGTGATGGTGAAAATAAGATTTTTTCTTTAGGAGGAGCCTCGAGAGAGAAGCTGGTAGGCAGCGAGGTCAGGGCTATGAGGGGATTGTGGAGAAGCTATCCATTCGAAAGTCTCAGAGTCACTGGATTTTCTGGTTGAATGGTTCAACAGTGTCATAAAAAAGTGAACTTCGTTTTGTTTTTCTCCCATACTACCGAAAATTCGTAAGGGCTCCGTTGAATTTTAGCCGTCAGAACACCCAAATCGTTTGAGCTGGACTACCGCCGCTTTTTTACTTGTTAGCGCACTGTGCGCTCTCCTTATAACCGAGAAATATAACGGATGATCCGTCAAATGAGCCATTGTAAGCCAACTTGAATCCCCGGCTAATCACCCCTGGCTTTCAAATTTCCACCGCACATCTGTACAAAGGTGGCGGGAAAGCTTCCACTGGTTCTTGGAGTGCCTTCACTAGAAACTCTTTCTGGCCTTTTGACTTATTGCATTCACATCTCACACTTCTACTGCATCCTATTCTATCGATCGTTTTGTCTCTATTCTCCGAAATCGAACGCTTTAACCCTTCTTTCAATGCGTCGCCTGATACGTGGTCGCCTCAAGGCGCACTTCTTTCCATACGCCGCGGCTCCGCGCGACCTACCATCAACCGTCCATAGAGAGTGGTATTAGTAAGTTCGATGCTCTTTAGCTGAAACATTGTTTGTGTCCCTAGTGATCACAGCTGACATATTCGTATAAGGAAAGAGTGCAAGAAGTTTCCGGGAAAAAATTTATGAGTTTAAACAACTAGACACTTCTCCATATCTCGTAAAAGAACCCACACACTTTCCATAACATCGCAAAAATTCTCTCTTCGAATTCCATTCTTTGGAAATACATCTCCACCAAGTACAACCCCTACCTTACACGTGTCATAAATAAAACCACTGGCGTAGAATTTTTCCCAATGAATGGTTGACTCGTCCGAGTATTGTCTAAGTACTGAGGGAGCTGCAATACCACAACGATCACTCAGTTGTAATTCTCCCTAATGAAATTCGGCTCGCTCTCGACTGGACCTGAGAAATTCCCCAACACGCATCACTACAAACGTACTTCTACTCTCGCGTCATCTACTGTGCCAATGATTACTATGGTAAACAGTGGACTTCCATGTGACAAGAATCGATTCCGTGTCAAGTGGGTCGTAAAGGTGCCTCATTGACACAGACGATTGATAAATTATGGGAGATTGTCGGGCGATCGTGATAATTCCGGTTGATAAGCTGCCTTGATGGCATCTGTCTTGCAGCAAGTGCTTTCGACTTGTTGAATTAATCCTTTATTCTCTTCATATGTCGAAAATCAGACGATACTACCGAAACCGTTGAGGCC